TGATTATAACTTATAATGTGCTTAAATTTTGTATTGAATGATTGTCATTAACATTTGTTTATTTATTTATTTTGTTGAATGATATATGATTAAGTCCTTTCATTTTCTTTGTCATTTGATTATAACTTATAGTGTAATTAAAAATTGTATTGAATGATTGTCATAAACATTTATTTATTTAAAAAAAAAAAATCAAAGACTTAAATATTTTTCCACCAATAAGGAGAGAGTGAAACCTTACTTTTATATATATGATTTCGTGAGTAAATTTCCAACAAAGAAATCATAAAAACAAGTAGTAGTTACAACAAGCAAATAATGAAAACAAGCCAAGCATTTTCCAAATTGAAAGCATAAAGAAAAATTATTAATATTTGAGTAAACACAGAAAAAATACAAATGATGAACAAATGTAACTTTTGTAGACGTAATCGAGAAGCTATTCTAAGGTATATAACAAAGAAAAGATGTGTTATAGATGATATATATCTTATAGCTTTTAAAAATTAAATCTAAAAATTAAATTTTGTATTATGAAATCTTAATAATTATTAAACAAATTCTGTATAAAAATCTGTAAATTCAAAAGAAAAATATAAATTTTAAAAATGTTTGCCCCGATGTGTATTAGAGCAGACAAACTAGGCTAACAACTTTAGAAACTTTGCTATCATTAATTATATAGTAAGTGAAGTAACGCCACAACAACATATATATATTTTTTGACTTTGCTCATGTCTTGCAAAGAGATGGTATGAGAGTAGACTTTGTAAATTAATAGACTAACTAATCAATAAGCTCGCCCTCGTCGTGCAGCTTGATTGATTTGGACTGAGCTTGGAACATACGAGCTCATAAATGGACAACTTCTTTTGTCAGTGTATTCACCTCTCCAATGATGTAAGCTACTACCTTGTTCGTTTGCGTCTCTTTGTCTTCAGCAAAAACCATAAAGACTTTCTTCTCCTCGTCAACAAAGAATCGATCATAAGTAAGAAGTGTTTTTTCCACATCCACCGCTAAGAACAAATTGCTCCAGGACACTGCTTCGGGCTCAATCTTACTCGTTATCCATAACTCTATCCGCAATGTATCCTTGCGCTGAAACAACACAGCAATTTGATCTTCTCTAACACTAGAGAGAGAGACGTTATCTATACTAGAAGATCGAAAAGGTAGACTTAGTTGCGGTCCAAATCTCTCTGTTGTGAAATCAAAACAGATTAAATAGAACTAGGGATCTCTCTTGCTGGTCTTCCGAAAATTTTCCACCTTCCATTGGGAGTAGTCAAGATGTTATCATGGTTTCGCGCAAGCCAGTAAGTATTTCCCTTGAGAGACACGCCACATTTATAAAACCGCAACTTCCCATTAGGCCTGCGACTTTGGATCGGGTCGGATAATACGGGTCGGGTAATTTGGGTACTCGGTTAATGCGGTATTTGAAAAACGTTTCTGAAAATAACCAAATTACATAACGGGTCGGGTTGGTTCGGGTATCGGGTTTTTCGGTTATATTTTTTGCTTACTGAAATGAACTGAATGTTTAAGATTCTCGGTTAGATTAGTAAAATCGGATCAAAAATCTCGGTTAAGTAGGGTAATTTCGGATAATGTCAGGTAATTCAGTTATATTGGGTCGGTTATTTCGGTTAATTTCGGGTAATACGGGTGATTCAGTTATATCGGGTCGGTTATTTCGGTTAATTTTGGATAATACGGATAATTCGGGTAAATTCGGGTAACCGATTGGTTAGGTCAAACCCAACCGATCCAAACTGGTAACAGATTGGAATTTATTAATCCTTTCAATCGGTTATCTCTGGTTAACCGAAACCGAACCAAAAACCAAAAATATCGGTTCGGTTTTTTTGAGTCGGGTACTATTCCCAGGGCTACTATTGGCAGTGCGGGTAATATCCTTCCATGAATCAGAGTTAAAATTGTAGATTTCAACACTTTTTGATTCCCCCGTGTTTCGATATTTTATATATTTCAAGTTTATTTCTGAATATCTCAAGATTTTGTGACTACGACGATGTGAGTTCTTGTATCCCAGAGCGAACATGGTTCGGTACTTGATCCCACTATTGTAATGATGACGATCAGAAGTTTCGATCCACCGTGTTTCCCCACGGTAAGGGTTCCAAACCACAAGCCTTGGTGTTTCTTCTTTAGTGTGACATAATAACAAACCATTACAGTGGAACACACTTATTATATCGACTCTATTTGAATCGTTTACGCTACTCAATTTACCTTTCCGCTCTATAGATGATTCCATGTTTATGTCGTCCTTGTAGTGAAGTCCAACACTCATTAGATAAACACTAGAATCAATAATCATGATTGCCATAAACTCTCTCTTCTTATTCTCTGCTGTTCTTGAATTAAGGATGTGCTTCTTTGTAAATCTCCGATGTTTGAATAACTTGTTCCATCTTTTGCAAGTAGCTTTCGCTGGTCTAAGAGATGTTAACGGAACCCTAGAGAGCACTTCCTCTACCAAGTCTCGTGGAAGATCTGACATCGCCGTTGTTGAATCCTTCATCTCCAAGTTAGGTCAAAGCTTCGAAAACTCTTCGAACACTAGAATCCATAAAGATTGATATAGAGACCTAATGGGCCAATAGCTGACTTCAGAATCTTACTGGGCTTCTTATCGTCAACAACGACAGCAACTACATAAATGTAGTCTACATTGATAACATTAGGGATGAGACTATGGTATATAACAAAGTGAGAGTGTCTAGCTAGTAACGTATAACCAAGTAGTTTTTAAGTGAGAGTCTGAGAGAGGGAGATTATGACTACACACGAGACAATTATTTTAACACACCATCACTAAATGAAACAATGATCAGCTTTGTCAGATTTATTTAACCGAGATTTTAATTGCAGTCATATTTATTTAATTTACTAAAAGAACATTGTTTTCATTTATTAATATTCATTAGGATTTACCCGTGGTGTACCAGGGGTCCATAATTTAATATATTTGTTTGGTTGATCATTTTCTTAGTTGATTTATATAATCTATTTTTATACGTGTTTATTTCATTTTAATTTTATATAGTTTTATAAATTTGTATTATAAGTAGAATCATAGATATATGCGGTACCGCGGGACAATTTTGTTGTAAATAAAAAATTATATTTTAACTTAACCCGTAAAATATTTTAAATATAGACAACCCATAGAAAAATATAATCATATTTATGCAAAATCAAACCCGTTCAATCATATTTATGTACAATAATATATTTTAATATTTTTAAATTTGAAATATTAATATTACTTTATATTTTTGTAGCGTAAATATTCTGTAAACTTAAATTAATTATTATAATTTGCAGCTTTTAAAAGTTTTAATATTTTTAATATTTTTAAAAAAATTTAAAAACTAAAATTTATAATATCTTGTAACTTTTTAAAAGTTTAATTTTTCTAAAATAAAGAACCGGATTAAACTGAATAAAAAATTGTAATTTGGATACCTTATAAATCAAAGTTCATGCTTATTTGTAGTTGTGAACATATTACTCTTATTTATAATGGTTTTGAACTATTATTTAAAATTTTATACCTTATGTAGACGTTGTACATATATGTTTTTCTTAGTATCTTTTTTATGTAACCTTTGTCAAAGTTATGTAACATTTTAGAATCTAAATTTAGTATTTATAAAGCCACTCTTAATAATGCATCACTTACCTTTCATAACCGTTCACCACCTTTAATAGTTACAAAGTGAGGCATGTGAGTAGAGTAGTTGTTAGTCAAACTGTAAAAAGCGGATGTAGGTAGACAGTTATATACGTTCGTTTTCAAAATTTTAAATTGCAAAATGTGTGCAAAAAAATTGTAGTTTTATTATAAATATATTTTATGTAATAATATAAATTAAAAATAAATAAAATTATATAAATATATTGGAGAGATATTCGATTTATTAGAGAGAGATTTTTAGGAAAGTTTTTTGATGTACTAAATATTTGTTTCCAATTTTGCGATTTGTTTATTATTTCATTACAAAATTTCCTTTTAAGTTTTGTTATTTATTCAAATGGCAAGGGTTTGGTTATTCAAATATTACAAAATAAAAGGTTATAACCCAAAATAGATTTTAGTGCAAAATGTACTTCAAAAATGTTAAGAGAGATATTTCAAATGATCCAACCAACAATTTTCAAGTATTTTTTAAACTACCAAACATATATTATTATAAGATTTTTTTTTTTTGTATTATTGATTTAAAAAAAAGTTTATGGAATTTGTTTTATTTTTTTAGATTGCATCACTTTCCTACAAAATCATTTAGATGGTCTCATCTCCTTATTATAAATATTTTCCTTTATAAAAAACTAGATAAACAGTCCGCATCTTTTGTATATGTATATATTCCTCCGCGCCGATCCTAGTTCGTAAGCAAGAATAATAGAAAATATGTAAATATGCTAGCTTAAAAATAATTAATTAAAATGAACTAAAATTTTATATGAGACACGTCAACATAACATTTAATCACATATGAATGTAAGGTTATCTTTTTAAGAAATGTTTTCAGTATATATTAGATGTATATCATCTTCTTTTCTTGAAAAATAAAAAAGAAAAAAATATATCTAAATTAAGTATCTACATAGTAACAATATATATTAAATTTTTTTTTTTTCCAGCAAATCAGACTTTTATTAATTATAAAGAGTAACTACAAAGACATTATACAGAACTATTGTAACACAATTATTACACAATATATATTAAATATTAAGAATAAGTGTAACTAAAGTTATAGATACTTTATAATACAATGATATTTTAAATATGTTTTTGCACATTTGCTTAATTTTTGCTTCTATTTAGTATATTTGCTTAATATTTGCTTTCTTTTAGCATATTTCCTATCTTTTATTTTTCTTTTTGCTAAAATTTTATATAAGAACGGACACTTCAACATAACATTTAATCACATACGAATGTAAGGTTATCTTCTTAAGAAATGTTTTCAATATATATTAGACGTATATCATCTTCTTTTCTTGAAAATGAAAACAGAAAAAAAAAGATTTCTAAATTACGTATCTACATAGTAACAATATATATTAAATATTAAAAATAAGTGTAACTAAAGTTATAGATATTTTATAATACAATGATATTTTAAATATGTTTTTGCATATTTGCTTTTATTTAGTATATTTGCTTAATATATGCTTTCTTTTAGCATATTTCCTTAATATTTCCTTTCTTTTAGCATATTTCCTATCTTTTATTTTTCTTTTTGCTACGTTAAGTATATATATAGCTAATTTTTAACATAATATGTTTATCATCTGACATGTTTTAAATAATTTTGTGAAAAAACAACAAAAATATTTAATTTTCTTTTGGTAGAATTTAAAATATATATTAATAAAATTTGTTTTTTATTTTTACCTTTTGCAATTTCAGCTTATAATAGTAAGAGTTTCATCTCAATAGTTATTTGTTTACGCAACACAGTTGGGCCGGTGAAGGGACCAGTCGTCACGGTTTGTTTTAATTTAGCCAGCATCAAAGCCACCGTAAAGACTTTTCTCGGTCGTTCGTGGAGAGAATATTCAACAGTTAATTAGAGTTATAAAGTCATATATTCAAAGGCATCTTTATTCACTAAGTTTTTAAAAAAGAAATATGTATACTACTAAAGCTGAAGTACACATGAGATTTACACTAAAGTTTTCAATTGAAATAAAATACACTTAATCGAATATATCATTTTCGGATCTTTTGGGTATGGATAATGAATCGGATATTTCTCCAGCAGATTAGATCATTTTCATATTAGCTTTGATTTTCCTAAAAATTCTCTACCTAATTTAATATAATATATTAAAAATAATTATTATTCTCCTTTCACATTCTTATGATCATGTTTATATTTTATTTATTTTATTACATTAATAATATGAATAAATAAAATAGAATTTTTTCCGCATATGTTGTAATTTGATTTTTTTTTAAACGGACATATATATCTCAATCGATAAAACAAAAAGGGTATATAAAACGTCTCACATCGATTTAATTTTTTTTAGAAATTGGTTAATAATTATTATAAATAGGACTGATATACTCAAGCATACAAATAAACAGGAAGCTTGATTTCTCAAGCGTCTAAAATTTAAAAACTTTATTTGGTTTAATTGGTTCTTTATTTGAGCAAATTAAAACTTATAAAAAATTTCAAAATATTATAATATTTAAATTTTAGAAATTTCAAAGTATTATAAATATTTAAATTTTAGAGTATTTAGTTTTAAATATTTTAGGAGAAACACAAATATTAGTGTACCAAAAATTTTGGAAAGACATTTGTTTTAAAAAACATATATTCAATTACACAATAACATACAAACAAATTATACATGTCAAATTCGAAAACATATATGTAATGTTTTTAAACTCAAATAGGATTTTAAACCAGATTACCTATCGGGTCATCGGGTCACTAGGCTAACCAGGTTCGACCACAGTCAATTGATTAAAACTTTTATTTATTTTTATATAAATTATGCAGTTTTATAAATAGAAAATAAAAATAATCATATCATTTTGAACAAAAATATGTAGAGACGACAAAAAAAACAAAATATGTAGTCTAATAATAATAAATTGCCTAAATTTTTAAAATTCAAATAAAACCAAAAGAATACTAATAACACATCAAGAGTTTATGGTAACCAATTTTAATCCTATGTATTATCGTTTGAGAAAGAATTAAAATATTATGACTTCTAAAATCTGGCCGGTCCAATTGGTTCATATGGTCGTGGGTTAACGACAATTTTTATGGTTTTTCAATCATAAGATTACCGGTTATTTGCACTAGACCGAAAACGGAAAAATATCCAGTTTCCGGGTAGCAGATTAACCAGTCAAACCGGCAAGTACAACTCGAAAGTGAAAACATATGATTTATCAAACACTTACAATATGAGAAATAAACACAATCTAAAATAAATATATATTTTTAAAATAAATATATATCTTTAAAATAAATAAATTTATAATTTATATATTCACTTTTCTAACAAATGTCATCCGTGCGGTAGCACGGGTTATCCCCTAGTTTGTGGTAAAGCTAAATTATTATTCCTATAAGAAAAGTTAGTAATATATATAGGAACAATGAATAATATACTACTAAATTATATATATAGGAATAATTTATTACTAAACTGTTGAGTTATTAGGTCATCTTTATAGCTATATTCGATCGGGCCTTACACTAATATTAAAAGCCCAGAAATTGAAAACAGTACAATGGGAAAGACCATCTCGATGCTACCCAAGATCTTTTCCGACTCGCTTCTTACGCAACGTGTAATGATGATATTGGTTAACAAGGCGTGTTCTTCACTAAGTTATTGGTAAAGACATACTTCTATTGGTAAAGACATACTTTATTCATCAGTTTCAGATCACGAGAACGTTTTAACTAGCACTCTTGAATTTTTGAAAAACGCAAGCACTTGTGGTCTGTCGAAGTTGAGATTTTTCTCGGATAAAATTTGTGATGTATCATGTTTTTCACCTTTTCTACCTAAACTCTAGGAAATTATTTCCTTTTATTAGATTGTGCAGAACGCGAAACTTAGAGAAACATCCTCATCGCTTCTTTGAAACTGTTGGTTTGATAAGTAGAAGTTGACATCAAATAGGATCAATGTCTGCCGAAAGAAGATTCGTTTAATGTACTATTGTTCCATGTAGAATTTATTAAGTAAATTCCATTAGTCTTGTTGAGTTATCGAAAATGGTGATGGAACAGAACTGTGTATGATGGCTGGTATTGGATTTGTAGGCTATGGACAAGGAAAGAAAAAGAGATAGCTATTGTGACACACAGCGGTTTCTTGTTTCACACATTGAATGCACTACAAAACGAGTGTCCAGAGTTGGCCCAAAGGCCAAGCCCATGAAGCATATGTTTGCGGTCCTTCCTTTTATATAGCATTTCCGGCCCTGTTTTTTCAAAAAATCTCTTTAGTGTAGTGGTATAAACCTTTCTTCAAGGTTGTAGCCTTCCATAGCATTGAGATTAGAGACGGCTCTGCGAGTGTCATCCAGATGTTAAGACGGAAATTTGCAGCCAGTAAGCTCCACACCCTTCGTGAGGAAATTAATTATAAGTCCAATTGAGGAATTTTAATCTCTCGGGGTTTCTAATTTGCATTTAATTTGCAGGTTTGCTAATTGTGAGCTACGTTCAATGGTCATTGTCGATAGAAGGTTTGGAGTTTCTCCATTCTTTTTTTTCCATTCTTTTTTCTTGCCTTGAGATTTGGAGATGTAGCCAAGTACAGTCTAATTTTTTTCATGTGTTCGCAGCATGTTGGGATCGGATACTTCGGTGACTGATTATCCAGGAAAGATTCCAAAGGGGATTGACCTTCCAAGTGATGCTGTTGTAGATGATAACAACATCAAAGTTGAGTGATTCTTTATGGACACTTCATTGTCTTCAACTTTCTATTTATCTATACACAAACCCCTTCTTTGTTGTATGCAACTCTCTTATTAGTCTTACTATTGACTTATTGAGTTAAAGATACTTTCCTAGTTCACTTAATTGGGAGTTGGGTCATAATGTTGTGTTTTTGGTAATAATAATGGATGGAAATGTATGAAAACGCTATCATTTGGTATGGTTATGAATACAAATTTTCCACGTACATGTTCATTTTTATCATAATTTTTTTGTTTTAATAATTTTGAATTGTATTTTCTATATATTTACAATTTTCAAATATGTTTTGTGTTTATTTTTATGTTTTCAATTTATTAATAATTTATTTAATTTAAAATTTTAATAATATATTAACATTATTATATTATTAAAATTTTAAGATACTACATGTTTAACCAATAATCACCTCAAAATCAAAAGTTTATCATTATTAATATATCTATTAAATTCTAAGATACATCCTCAAAAATATACCTATAAAGATGCTCTTAGACGTTATAGTTTTTTTATAGGAATAAGAAAACCAAAACATTTTAAAAATATTTAATTGAAAATTAATTAATAAATATCACCCAAAAGTTAAATCCGAGAGCAATAAAGACGAGAATATGATCTTGATAATCAACTTATGTAACTTATTTTTGAGTTTGTCGTGGTTGATTTTATTGTTGGAAAATTTAATCAAAAGGAGATATTTATTTATTCAACAAACAATATAAGTGGGGCATTTTATTGTTTATTGTTGAATACTTAGAACAACGATTTTATTGTTACGACCACTTTCAACAATGTTTCTTGCAAGCTAGCCATTGTCCCAACCATAAATAGTTGATTCTATAATTGGGCTGACACAATTTGGATGGTTCCACTTACATAGTGGATCCTGAACATGTATGAATTGCAAGACTTGATTTTCATATAGTCGATCCTGAACATGTATGATACAATTCATGGCTTTGATAAATGCTTAGACTTGTTTTTCTTCTGTTTTACTGGAATGTAGAATTTGGGGTTAGTTGCTTTTGTTTTCGATGTTAAGTAGGCTTATAACTGAAGATGCAGTTCCAAAACAGCTTGCTGTGAAGATCAGGAAGCTGCATCCGTTCAGACGCCTGAGATCACATCAGACGCCTGGGATCACATCAGACACTTGAAGTTGCTGACATGGAGTCGTGAGATGACGTGGCAAAGCTTAAGTGGATGGAGTGACGTGCTAAGGAAGATTTCTTGCTTGGCAGCAAAGATAGAGACGAATTGCGTGTGAAGATATGGTGAATATTCTTCACATCAAATAAGGAAAGGATGAGCTTGACAAGCAAGCATATTCTGTTTCGGTGAGATCCTCGAAGATCCTAGGGTTAGGATTTCGAGTAGTTAGTATAAATAGTCTAGGGTTTGGCCACGAGCCACTTCGAACACTTTAGACTCTTTGTACGTGATTGTAAACTTCGAAGCTAGCAAAACAAAAAGCTGAGAAGGTGAGTGTTTGTTTTCTCTTGGGACTACACGGGTGTAGGAGAGATAGGTTTAGTGCTCGTTCTTTAGTCGGGTTCAATTCTATTGGGAGGAATAGATTGAGTAAGAGCCGAGACAAAATTGTATCCTAGGAAAAGATAAATTTTGTTAATAAAGATCGAAGGAAAAAGTGTTTGCTTGGCGCGTTCCAAGCGTAACTGTCTGTGTGTTTCTCTATACGTTTTCATTTGGTATCAGAGCGGACGCCTGATAAAAGATTTGTTTTATCTTTTCAACAGGTGAGATCCTGCAACAGAGGGTATGGAGAAATCACAGCAATACGTTGCTATAACTAAGCCGTTTAAGTTGGATCCAGAATATTACGGGTTCTGGAAGGTGCAG